TGGTATTCCGTAGGAGGCGGAGAGATGGCACCCCCTCCTAGACCGACTTTCAAAGCTGGTTTGCTCCACAATCAAGATTGTCTGTACTGTACCGTATACCGTACCGTGGTATTCCGTAAGAGGCGGGGAGATGGCACCCCCTCCTAGACCGATTTTCCAAGCTTAATTCGATTGCTCCACAACGAAGATTGTCTGTACCGTACCGTATACCGTACCGTGGCATTCCGTAGGAGGCGGAAAGATGGCACCCCCCCCTAGACCGACTTTCCAAGCTCGATTGCTCCACAACCAAGATTGTCTGTACCGTACCGTATACCGTACCGTGGTATTCCGTAAGAGGCGGGGAGATGGCACCCCCCCCTGGACAGACTTTCCAAGCTCAATTCGATTGCTCCACAACCAAAGGGGGTGCAAAGAGAGCCCGATGCGTTTGCATGCAAGCCATCGACGAGATGTTCCAAAACCACCGTCTTCGTTGTTGGCACTATCTTGGTTGTGGAGCAAGCAAGCTTTACACGTTGGTCTAGGGGGGCTGCCATCTCCCCGCCTCTTACGGAATACCACGGTACGGTATACGGTACGGTACAGACAATCTTTGCTGTTGAACGTTGGTCTAGGGGGGCTGCCATCTCTCCGCCTTTTGCGGTAAGGGGAGGGGAAAGGGGGGAAAAAACACGGAGGGGCTGGCGCAAGCGTTGGGGGAGGATGTGGCATTAGGATAGTATGTTAGAGGACAACTGCCCCCCCCTCCCCCCCCCCAATCAACCCATGGCATGTCTAGTTTGGCACAGCAAACGCAAAGGATGATGGCCAATTTCTGGTTCACCCTGCTGAAACGTAGTCTGGGTTGTAGACGAAAATCTGGCACATCGCTCCGTCCTGGCATTGTAGGGATGCAAGGTCTATGGTCTACTACCGACTGCGCATGCGTTTACATGAGTACCCATGCATTACATGAGTACCCCCCCCGCGCCCTCCCGGAGCGTACCAGAAACCGTTTGTCCGCGGAGCTCTTGCGCGCAACTTGCGCACTGCTGTACATGTGGCATATCCCGCCACCATACCTCATTCGTACAGTGTCGGCTTTTTTTTGCCATCTCTGTCCCTTACATGTCGTTTCCTGTTTTATGCATAGGACATTTCCACACACACGTTTTCGGAAAGTTTTGCCGCACTGAAAAACTGACGTCTGCTCATCGGTCAGCCAGTTTGCGCGGCCTCGATGCTAGTGAATGTACAGACCCACGACGGTTCATATTAATAAAAATGAGAATACAAATACACCACAACACACCTACCACCCCCGTCCCATCTACGGCCTCCCCACCGTATGCATACCAGCGAAACGGTACGGGCAGAAGCGCAAGTTCGGGTTCGTGGACGTGTACAAGGAGGAGATGCCGGCGGAGCACGTGCGCAAGATCATCCGAGACCACGGGGACATGACCTCGAAGAAGTTCCGGCACGACAAGAGGGTCTACCTCGGCGCTCTCAAGTTCGTGCCGCACGCCGTGTACAAGCTCATGGAGAACATGCCCATGCCCTGGGAGGCCGTCCGCAACGTTCGGGTGAGAGGGAAAATGTGGCGGCACTAGAACAGGAGAGAGAAATTTCAAGTGGTACATTTCTGCTTACAGGTAGCATGCCTTTTTGCGGCAGCAGCACTTTAGCAGGAGAGAGTTTGCAGCGGAACTTATAGCATGCCCTTGTGCGGCAGCAGCACTGCAGATGGGAGAATTTCCAACTGTGCAGTACTGCTGTAGAATGTCAGCAACCACCAGCAAAAGCGTAAAGAAAGCGATCAAGCCGTACGGATGATGCAAGGCCTTCTCCACCACATCCGGGGACGAGGGATACGGCAAGCCCTTTGTAGCAGCGCCAGAGACGAGAACGTACAAGGGCCTCACACGCGCGCCAAAGCGAGGCTCAGCATACACGGCGAGGGTGTTTTTGTGGGTGTGCTGCTTTTGTTGAGTCGGGGGTGGAGAGGCTGGCTTGTGTAGAGTGCAGATGGTCATCGTGTTTTCCGTCTCTACCGTTTTTGCCGGCCTTTTGTACACGAAACGCTGCCGTCGCCGACGACATGAAGTCTTTTTTTTTTTTTTATTACATTTTTTATTACAAGGGCTCCCTCGGAGTTGGCTCATCAGAGCATGGTAACAGCAGTGCCATCAAGGCGTGATGAAAGAAGAAAGAACGGCATGTTTTGGCGTGAATCAACTGCCAGCTGCCATCAGCGGCGTTTCCCTATCTCGAACAGCTCACACAGCTGACGGCGTTTTGGCTCGAAGAACCCAGCGAACCTCGACGAACCAAAAAGAAGACTTAACAATTCTGTCTACAGGTATACCTACTCTCTCTTTGTTTTTCATTTGGTGCTGTACCACGTTGCTGGTGCCATCACCTTCGTGAAGGACATTGCAACTTTTTCTTTATTCCCATTGTTTTTTGTTGTTCGGCCGGCGATAGCGGCTCTCATTCTTTATTTTTCCTGTTCTCATTTTGTTATTTTTATTTTTATTTTTTATCAATAGGTGCTGTACCACGTTACCGGCGCCATCACCTTGGTGAAGGACATTGCAACTTTGTTTATTTCCATTGTTTTTTGTTGTTCGGCCGGCGATAGCGGCTCTCATTCTTTATTTTTCCTGTTCTCATTTTGTTATTTTTATTTTTATTTTTTATCAATAGGTGCTGTACCACGTTACCGGCGCCATCACCTTGGTGAAGGACATTGCAACTTTGTTTTTTTCCATTGTTTTTGTTGTTCGGCCGGCGATAGCGGCTCTCATTCTTTATTTTTCCTGTTCTCGTTTTGTTATTTATTTGTTTTTTTGTTTTTTCAATAGGTGCTGTACCACGTTACCGGTGCCATCACCTTCGTGAACGAGATCCCCCGCGTCATCGAGCCGGTGTACATCGCCCAGTGGGGCACGATGTGGATCATGATGAGGCGCGAAAAGAGGGACAGGCGGCACTTCAAGCGCATGCGCTTCCCGCCCTTCGACGACGAGGAGCCTCCGCTTGACTACGGTAAGCTAAGCTCGTGTCTTTTCTGTGTGTGTCGTGGACTGCTCATTTTTTTTGTGGCTTGTTGGATGTCTTCCTTGTTTCTAGGTATCGTCCCTTCACTTGTTCTTCGAAACACGTTATTTTTGTGCGTCGCTGGCTATCTCGTTAATTACATAGGTATCGTCCCTCGACTTGTTTCTTCGAAACACGTTATTTTTGTGTGCGTCACAGGCTGCTCTTGTTTATATTGTGTTGTTGCTGGTCATCTCTTGTTTCTAGTTATCACCCCTAAGTAATACATGAGCTTGTTTTGTGTCTCTGGCACGAAGAAGAAAGCGGGCATGACGTAAATCTCCAAAATTAGCTCAGTCAATGGCACACAAGCGTACTGTAGGAACAGCGTCCTCTTCTTACTCCCCCCCGGGGGACTAATCTAGCCCTAACGCACAACTCGCGCTGTTTCCCTCTGGGGGAGGGCGGACTGACATGCTATCGAGTACGTCCACATTGACCAAAAGACAAGCTCAAGCCAAAAGCGTGTCGCTAGATGTACCAGGTAACACTATGATGTTCAAATTTGGGACGTTCGATGTGTCCCATTTGAGCAGGCGACAACGTGCTGGATGTAGAACCCCTGGAGCCGATCAACATGGAGCTGGATGACGAGGACGACCTTCCCGTGCTCGACTGGTTCTATGACTCGAAGTGAGGAATTAATTGATCCGAACAAAGCGTTTCTCTAGATATATATTTGTTGATTTCACTGCTGAACGGCTTGTTCTGTGGCTCCATGTGAGGAATTATTCCGACCAACACGTTTCTCTAAACATTTGTTGATTTCATTCCTGCTCGACTTGTTCTGTGACTCCAAGTGAGGAATTATTCCGACCAGTAAGACAGCAGGCCATATTTTCGCATGTTTTGTTCATTGCTGATGATCAAGACGTCGATGCGACAATTCTCTCAGACGCTACGGCGATATCAAGAAAGTTAGACGGAAAGCATGAATGACCCCCTGTTGAGAAGAACTCACATTTTTTGGTTGGCTGAGTTGCTGTGACGGGTAGAGTTCAATAAAAATGGTAACGCGCCTTTTTTTTCTCACAAGGTTTTTCTCAAATGACAAGTAGCAAACGCGTAGCCCGCCCCCTCCGCCCCCCCGCCCCCCCCCTCTGTTCCGTTCCTCGCCCGTGCCCCGGTGCGGCGACGACAAAAAATGATGATGGTTGTGATGACGCAGGCCGCTCATGTACAGCAAGAAGTGGGTGAACGGTCCGAGCTA